AATGGGACACCAAACACCCTAACCATATCCCTTACAAAGAACATGTGTTGACGTTGATCCCACATTTTGAGAAGATTACCTTCGAGCATTTCCCGCGAGAAGAAAATCAGCTAGCAGACGCACTAGCCACAATGTCATCCATGTTTAAACTTAAATGGGATAACTAGGCTCCCTAGATCATTGAATGAATGGATGAACCAGCTCACTGTCACGAGATTAATACTGAAGAAGTAGTGGACCGGCCTTGGTTTCACGAAGTCAAGAGATATCTCGAGGCTCAAGAATATCCGGAAGGAGCTTCAGTCAATGATAAGAAGTTCTTAAGGAGATTCTCTGCTAAATTCTTCCTTAGTAATGGCATTCTCTACAAACGCAACCATGATTATGTGTTACTTTAGTGCGTAGACAAGGTTGAAGCGGAAAAGATCATGGTTGAGTTACATGAAGGAACTTTTGGCACCCATTCCAGTGGGCATACGATGGTAAAGAAAATCCTACAGGCAGGTTATTACTGGTCTACCATGGAAGCAGATTGCTATCAACACTCTCGAACCTGTCACAAGTGTCAGATTTATGCTGACAAGGTGCATGTACCTCCGATTCCTTTGAATGTCTTGAAGGCTCCTTGGCCCTTTGCTATGTGGGACATCGATATGATTGGGGAAATCAAGCCAACAACCTCTAATTGACATCGCTTCATCTTGGTGGCCATTGACTATTTTACAAAGTGGGTTGAGGCGGCCTCTTTTGCTTCTGTTACCAAGAATGTTGTAGCCCTATTCATCAAACAGAATCTCATCTTTTGGTACAGTATCCCGGAGAGGATCGTCACAGACAATGGTACGAATCTAAACAATACTATGATCACCGCCCTGTGCGAGCAATTCAAGATCCAGCACCACAATTCTTCCCCTTACCGGCCAAAGATGAATGGTGTTGTAGAATCCGCAAATAAGAACATCAAAAAGATCATACAGAAAATGACAGTCACATACAAAGATTGGCATGAGATGCTGCCATTCGCTCTCCACGGTTATCATACCACAGCATGCACATCAACTGGGGCAACACCTTACTCTCTGGTATATGGCATGGAGGTTGTCTTGCCTATTGAGGTCCAGATCCCCTCTATGAGAATCATGAAGGATGCAGGTCTGAACAAAGACGATTGGATCCAAACTCGACTTGATCAGCTGAATTTAATTGATGAGAAAAGGCTTACTGCTGTCTGTCATGGTCAAATATATCAAAAACGGATGATCAAGGCTTTCAACAAAAAGGTCAGACGCCAAGTGTATCAAGTCGGGGATTTGGTGATCAAACGTATCATACTACCACAAGGTGATCCCAAGGGAAAATGGACTCCTACATACGAAGGACCATTTGTGGTCAAAAGCATATTGTCTGGTGGAGCAATGATCTTGACCACTATGGATGGTGACGACCTGCCGCACCATGTGAACGCAGACATAGTCAAAAGATACTACGCATAAGATACCCGCTAGGTTGACACACCTAGGCAAAATAAGGGCATCCCAGTGAACCAAAAAGGTTCGGGCAAAAATTAGGGATAAAACAAAAAAAAATTGTACACCCGACAAGCTGAAAACCCGAAAGGGCGGCTTGGGCAAAAAAGGGTATCCTGGTGGACTGAAAACCCGAAAGGGCGGTCCAAGAAAAAGTTAGGGAATTAAAACGTATGACTATGTCCTGTTGGATCACCTTACAGATAACCCGCAAGCTTGACGGTTCTGATCAATTCAATCAGCTTCGGACAAGGTAATAAACAGATAAGATGCTCAGAGGCACGAAGGCTATAGCAGAATGGGAACCCCACGGGATTATTTCACATAGTTATCTTTTCTTTGTATCAAATTTTCATTTTTTATGATGGAATTCTCTTACTAGAATTTTTGTCTCATTCTACAAAAATACTTACTCAAAGTCAATACAAAGATGTCCCTTTGAAAGTGCAAAACTATCTGTTTTTCTTTACTCTTGTGTTTTGTTTACAAAAACGTCCAATGATTTATTTTTGAACATATGCATTTGAACGTAACTACCGTTTACAAATAAACAAAATAGAAAGACAATCATTGATGGCTTTAAGAAATAGGGAAATCTCTTTAAAGCTATTTCCATAAAATCCCCTGCTGTGTGCAGTTTAATCTCCAGCAGAACAGAGCTTCCAATTATCAATCCCCAGTAGAAGTCGTCCAATTTCTCAGGATTCCCCAACAGGATTTTACAAGCAGTGCACGACATTTCCCTTACAACAGAGTTTATTTCTCAGCGAAAATTCATCAGCACTTCAACTTCAAAACATGAAGACTTTCACTCTGTATCCTCAGTAGCAGTCGGGGATTTATTTTCCCCAATCCAATAAGCAGTACAACAGATTAGCTCACATACGCATACATCACATCCATATATCATAAACATTGATAACACGAATGCATGTATCACAATCTCATTATACCATGCATTTCATACAACATGACATTGCATATTAGCTAACATTTTACCCTTTTCAGGATAAGGTTAATCAATATCTACCATTAACAATGTTCAAAGGCTTTCAGATACAGTTCAAATATGCTCCAGACACGTATGCCATCCTGATACTCATTCAAATTCAGCTTTCAGATACAGTTCAGATACGCTCCAGACACGGATTCCATCCTGATACTCATTCAGATTCAGCTTTCAGATATAGTTCAGATACGCTCCAAACATGGATGCCATCCTGATACTCATTCAGATTCAACTTTCAGATACAGTTCAGATACGCTCCAGACACGGACGTCATTCTGATACTCATTCAGATTCAACTTTCAGATACAGTTCAGATACACTCCTAACATGGATGCCATCCTGATACTCATTCAGATTCAACTTTCAAATACAGTTCAGATACGCTCCAGACACGGACGCCATTCTGATATTCATTCAGTTTCAGCTTACAGATACAGTTCAGCAATCATTTCTGGATGGAATCTACAAGCCCATCTCCAACAACTTTCCATCATCCCTCCAAATGGCATCTTTAAGCCCATTTCCTATACCATCAATCATCACATCACCGAGTGCAAATTTCTGGGCACTCTAATGTCCAATCATCTTCCACCTTCAAGTCACGAATGACAAAGCTCGCCAATCTAACACTTTAGGCTTACGGATATTGAACATGGGCATCTATTATACCCCAAAATTTTCCCTCTCACTTATCAAGAATTTTCTCACAAGATCTCCTTTGGCTCAAGACTGCATTAGGGTTGATCAGCTTAAGACACCTCCTTAAGCACTGATGACCAAAATTAGGGTTTGAAATTGCACAAGGACATTTGAACTTCCAAAGCCCCATATGACTTTCATAGATCATTATGGACCCTCAATATTACTCATGTCATGCTTCAAGCCTTGGATCACACTTTTGCTCAGTCAATTGAACAGTTGACCTAAAAATCAGCTGTATTGGGGAAAAAGTCAACCATGGCCAATTTACAGTCAAGCTCCATAATTTTTATCCACATCAACATTTTAAACTCATATGTATCATTTGATCAAGTTTGGACCATAATTCCTCAAAAAAATTGATCAAATCTTCAAAACGGCAAAATGGTCAAAATTAGGGTTTTGACTAGGAAAGGGCAATTTCTGATTTTTGACCTAGCAAATGATCAATTGGTTGAAGTCATGATATCAAGAGTCCAATTGCATCATTTTGACCTAATTACATGGCTCAAAACATTGCTCAAGTCTAATGGATTGACAGATGAATTTCCAGTCAACTGATCAAAAGTCAATTGTTTACTGAAAAGTCAAACTTTGACTTTTTGGTCAAAATCAAATGTCAAAGATTACAATTCATCAAAGCATGTAAAAATATGAAACTAATTCATCAAGAAATCAAAAGATTCAAGATTTCATTTTGGAAAGTTAAAATTTCAACACTTCGAAATTTTTCTAAGTGTTGAAAATTTCTTATTTTTTCACAACTTTGAGCAAAATATTCACCATGATGCAAGAGGATTCTGAAGAAACTTCTAACGTGAAAGTTGTAGATCTCCATGAAGTGTACAACTTTTCTTTACACAACTACTTCCAAAAGTTCTTGGATCTCAAGTTATAATTTTAAGAACACATGGTCATGAAACAAAACACTTAGTGAAATTTTGCCCTAATTTGGTCAGGATTTTGACCCAACTTCATGGAACTTTTTCATATAGTTCCAAGGGGAATTTTTAAAAGTGATTTAAAGATGGGTTGTAGAGAGCATTACAAGCTTTCCAAAATGTCCAAGAACTCCTTGAGATCATTTTTGAGTAGGGAGAATCGAAGAGATGAAGTTAGGGTTTTATCACTTGAATTACAAGTCATTTTGTGATGAACAAGATTCAAAATTCAAAATTATGCTGCATAACCTCTACTTTGAAGGCCTCAAACTTGTTAGGCACTCCATAATTAATTGCTTGCACAGCTGTTAGAGGTCTCATTTCAAGCATTCAATGCAAGGCCATGCTTTATATCCATTTTGGAAAGAAAGTGCACATTGCCATTTTGATAAAGTGACTTTTTGCACAGAACTTGTTCTTGAGCCTTTCAATTGCTTTCTCATGATCATAAAAGTCCCATAACTCAAGAGAAACTGGTGGAGACACTTATAATCACCCAGCCCAAGCTTGTACTACACATTGAAACTTATCTTCCCACTTTTCTTCAAAATCAAGTAACCTAGAAATTAGCTTGTAACTTGTACTTCTGACTCTCCAAAGCACTCCAACCTCTTTGCTTATACATACACAAGTCATTTGCCACAAGTCCCATGCATGCTTAAGCCCTGAAAACACCAAGAACACAAAATCACCAAAAACACTTCAAAACTTGTCATTTCCGAGTTTTGAATCACATCTCCAATTTTACTCATGCGTTTCTTGTCCTTTTACTTTCCAAAGCTTCTAAATAACATATACAAACAATCTCAACCCCTGCAGCACCACTGTAACACCTCCATCATCATCCACCATTTTCAAAAACAACATCTTGCACCTTGACTTCTCCATAACTCCTCAGGCACTTCCAGCTCAAGCTAAGCATCACATTAGCTTCCTGGGAACTTGAGGAAGCTAATTCAATCATTGGAACTCACTAAAAGCTACTCAAACTCAAAACCCGATACCCTCTTGCAAGGTAAGTTTCATGACTTTTGAACTCTTCATACATGCATCATTAATGGTTTATTTGTGAATGAAAAATGTAGATATCATTGCCCTAAAACTAACCATGTCCATAGTTTTCATTTATATTGCTTGAGCTTAGAGAATTTTAAGATTGAAGTTTCTAAAAATTTTAGGGTTCAGATTAGGGCCATTAAAATTCATGCTTATCTTTGATCTATAATTTTATTGCTTTGCATTTCTGAAATCATGAGGAAATTTGGTACAAGTTTCCTATTTACAATTTTCGTTTTTTATTGAGATTTGAATAAGATACATAGGCTTTGGCTGGGCGTGAGGTTGAAGATGAAGTTCAGGCCATGGACTTGTTTACTATCATATATTTATTGTTTTGATTATATAAACGGATGTATAACCACCCTAGTGGTAGAAGCGTGCGCCTGTGACTATAGGGACTTGGGTTCGAGCTACAATGGTACCCTTTTGGATTTTTTTTCATATTTTTCCTATTCTGACTCTTTTTTTTGCCAGCGTTGGGCCTCCCTTGGGCCTTATGTTTTTTTCTTACTGCTAACCCCCCTTGATGGCTATCCACACCCCTGGCCCATTTTATTTTCTTTTGTTCATTTTAATTTATTTATTTTCTTAAATATTTTTATCTAATACTAAAAAATCAGAAAAAATATAAAAACATGAGATTAATATTTTGATACAGTTTATTTAATTTTTTACACAAAAAAAATTATTTTATTTAATCATACTTTATTTATTTTACTAATTGTTTTTTTGTAAATTTAATTAAAAAAACTAGTGTTTTAGTTATTTTCTTTTACACCATTTAAATATATTATTTTAAAATATAAAAAGACCAAAAATATTTTATAATACTATAAATTATTTTTAAGACAAAAAATACCAAAAATATTCTTCTCATGAACTTAATTTCCTTTTTTAATTAATATTTAGATTAGGGTTTTATTTAAATTCTTTTCCTAGTAAATTTAGGTTTTACTTTTTATTATTTTTATTAATTATTTTATTTTAATTAATTATGTTAAAACAAAATCCCTTTTCTCTAAAAAAAATCTAAATAAACATCCATTTTCTTTACATTTACATTCTTATACATTTATTCATTTTGTACATTATTTATTTCAATTCTTGTACAAATTCAATATGGTTGTAATAGATAATTAGGTTTTATTTTCTAGCAATCCCCATTTATAATTTGTACACCCCCTCCCACAAATATTTTAATAGCGTAGTAATTTTAAATTCCACAATTTATCGCTTTATATACAAATGCTAGTAATTAGGGTTTGTATGAAAAGAATAAAACCAATCAATTAGAAAACCCTAATCAAAGATAAAACCAAGCATGAAAACAATACACTTGCACACAAGTACCCTTAGGGTAAAATCCACTTGGTTACCTTACAAAATGGCCATATTACGCATGCGAGGTATCTTAGCAAAAACAAACAAAAATACAAGATCATAGTCCCTCGATGACGCTATCTATGTTGTCTTTCAAATGATATTAGTCCCTAAAAGAGAATGCTAATATACCTTGCAACATTTCTAATCATGGTTATACGATGACCCACGCCTATCCCATTTGCATCCAAAGATAGGGTTACTCACCAAATCAATGGTATGATAACAATGTCAAAGGAAAAGGAAATGAACAAGAAAGACTTTTGACTAGGTAGAATGCTCATAATTACTTTCTCCATTTAAAAACAAAACACCCTTGCTATTTTCAAAACAAACACCTACACTTTCAAAAACATCTTATAAACTTGAAAATATTTTCAAAAGATCAACATCTTTGTATACATTCTTACGAACGAGAATCATTACAAAGTTTGCCTAAAAAATGGCCTATTTACAAAATACTTTCAAAAACCACACAAAGCACATTTTCAAACAAAATCAAGTGATGTAGCAAGTAACTAAGAGCCCATGGAAAACCATGGATGAAAAGGGTGCTAATACCTTCCCTTTTCATAATCTACCCCCTGAACTCAAGAAACAATCTCAAGGGTCTTTCCTGTGCTTTTTCACCTTTCCTTTTGGATAAAAGAAAAGTCGGTGGCGACTCTTTCTAACCGCAATATTTGCGATCAAATGCAAAACCTTCAAGTCAGTTCTCCCACCGTATCATAATATCCAAAGAATTTGGCGCTGGAGAACTGCCCGCACAAGCAACTGCCTCAAGAATATAAGTGATAGAAGAGTTAAGATGGAATTTATCTTTATTAAATCTAACCTTGTTGCGGATAGACCAGATGTCATTGAGAACAAACATAACAGCCACAGAAACGATAGTCTTATACTGCCCTGCACCCCTCCTTTTAAGGAGATTTTCAACCCCTGGCCACCTAAGAACATTCTCCTTACGTTGTAACTGAGGACTAACCCAACACCAAAGCTGTAATTCAAATTTGCAGTCGAAAAATAAATACTGAGATATTTCTTCGACATCTTTACAAAGGTCACAACGAGAAGGGAAAGCAAAAAGTCGATGCTTTCATTGATCATCCGTTGCCACCTTATTATGAAGAATCTTCCAAACAAAACAAGAATTTGAGGGGGGGATTGATTTCGACCAAATCCATCTCCACCAGTTCCTCTGAATACCTTTCGATCTGTTATAGTCATAGGCCATTTTAGCAGATAAGTCCATATTAAGAGTGCGCATCCACACTTTTGAATCTGCACGAAGATCACACAGAACATGGCAGGAACGGATCCTAGTTTGAATAGAAAATGGAATGGGAGTAAGGGACTTGAAAAGTCCCATATAACATTAATCAGAATGCTGCTAACCTTTTGACCCAAAATAGCCGACGGGTTAGTCAAATCGATATAGAGCGGCGGTCCACACCAACTATCAAACCAGAGACTATTAGAATCACCATTTCCCAACACCAAGAAGAGTTTTCCTTAATAGTAACTAGCTCAAGTTTAAGACTATACCAAAGGGAAGAGAAGATATGATGCTTTATGGTCTTACCATTTCTAAAAACTCTTTGTCTCAATAAGGCTGCCCAAGAATTGTTGGAATTCATCAAACCCCAAGTGAGCTTTAAGTTATAAGCTTCATTCATCTTCACGAGAGATCGCAAACCAAGACCACCTTCCTCTAAGGGATGACACATAGTTTTCCACGCCACAGACACGGCTTTAGCCTTAGAAATATCTCCACTCCAAATAAATCTTTTTATAGCCCGCTCAATATCTCGAACAAGAGAGATTGAACAAGCATAAATGGTCATATTATGTATAAGCATACATTGAAAGATAGATTTAACTAGCTTCACCCTTCAAGCAAAAGAGAGAAGAGTATCTTTTCAAGAGGCCAACTTATTTATGACCGTATCCGCAATAGGACGCAAGAAAGTCGCCTTAGGTTTTCCTTTGAAAATTAGAACACCAAGGTAAATAATGAGAGAAGATCCAATAGAAAAACTCGAGAGCTTCGATAAAATGTTCAGTCTAGAAGAGGTCATGGCACCACCAAAGATGTGAGACTTGCTACAATTAACTCTATGGCTAAATAGAATACCATATTCTTCAAAGATAGAGATAAGAGTTTTAATGTTTGAAATTTTCCCTTTGCAAAAAATGAAGACACCGTCAGCATAAAGAATGTGCGAAGGAACAGTGACATTCTTCGGCCCAGTGGTAAGCTCCAACTTCTTAGAAGAAACGACCATATTGACCTTCTTACTAAGAACTTCTTCCGCAATGCAAAAAAACAATGGAGAAAGATGATCTCCTTGCCGAACTTCTCACGAACAGTTGAAATAACCATTAAGCACAACATTGACATTAACCGACAAATAAGTAGAGTTTAAGATAGTCTTGGTCCAAGACATGTTTAAAAACCCTTTCAAAACAAAACCAATTTGATAGTTTATTCAAAGATCAATTATAAGTTACAAATATCGATTGATATAGTATTAATTTAATAATTATGCAGTAGTATATACGATTATTATGTAATTGTTAACATTCTAGCTTATAACTTATTAATTTCATACAAAGTTGATAACTATTGAATTGAATACCATTAAAACGACAACGTTTAATATTTAGTTTTTACAGAGGCGGCCTAACCCGTTTGAAGACCTAAAGAAAATTTTAAAATGAGACCTTTAAAATATATTTTAAAATAATAATTTTGTGATCACTAAGAGTTAAACTCAAGATCAAAAGAAAAAAAGAGGCCTAAATTTTATCAAATCAACTATGATAATTTATGTGTCTAATGTGCCATTATATATTACTAGTATTTAGACCCGTGCAATGCACGAAAGTTAATTATTTCATTTAATAATTAACTGATACAAAATTAAAATATAGTATATAATTAATTTAATTTATATTACAATTTTTATAATATTGAAATAAATCTAAAATATATGTATCTTGATAATCACTACAAATGAGATAAAAATTGTAGGTGCTAATAAATTCACTTGTAAATGGTAACAAATTTTCCATATTCACCGATATTTAATTATAAAGAGAAGAAGTCCAATCTAATTATGGTACAACGTGACAAATAAAACATAGATACAAAGTCCCGCCTTTAAAATCATTTTGATATTGAAATTTCTTCTAACTTAAGTCACAATTTTAGTCATCGTAGATGAAACAAAATTAAAAAATTGTTTACATTAAATGTGAATGAAATTCTAGAGTCATATAAAATTAAAGACAATCTCAAGATAAAAGCATTTTATTCATTACCACTTTGTGATGTAATTTTTGTCCAAAGTACATAATTCACCATTTAAGTCAAATAGCACCTAACTATTGG